TCATTCCTTATTTAACCGACAACATGTAACAGTAACAGTATCAGAGAAGTGCAAGTTCCAAGGGTTACACTCCGAGCAAGACCTGGTAGGACAGCGCGCAACCGGTTAACACCTCTTGCCAAACAGCCATGCACAGCCAAGAGGAATTAAATGAAGGAACAAGTGCAGGACACCTTATTGGAAGGTATGTCGTTTGCTTTGAGTGCACAGGAACGAATAATACAATGCCTCTATTGTAGGAAGGCAGACATTATTCTCAGTCAATAAATAGCGCAAAAAACAAACAAAAACTGTTATTTTTCCATAAAATTTTTAAAATCTGAAGAAAAATAAACCAAAAAAAGCAATTATAAAAAGTTTTATTAAATACCTTTTTTTTTTTAAAACACAAAATGTAAACGTGTTTCTTGAAATGTACATCTAATCATAATGAAGCACACAGAAATATATTTAAAAAATAGTACTGACTAAAAAAAACAATAAGCGGAAACTGTCCGCTATATATGTATTTATAGATAGAGGTCTCGGTAGCCATTGCCCTGTAGTTTTACACATTGGTACTGATGCCCAATGACAACTTCGATGATACGAGTGCAGACTAAAACCTTGCTGTGCTGTGCATCTGTAGCACGGCTTTGACTAATGTAGTGGAAACCATAAAGAACATACTTTTCAGGATTAGAAATGTCACCGATAAAACTCTCATATTTACACAGACATTCTTGAAATTGATGTGTGCATTCTTGTGCAGCACACAATTTCAGTTCCCACCGGTCTCCAGAAGGTGAAATGACACGGGAGGCCACCGGGTGGCGCCAGTCCCCCTCTTTTCACATTCTGGCACGCAGATTCCATTATGGCCCAAAAAGTTGTTTTGGGATAAACACTCTCACACGGCCGCTCTTGTGTTTTGGCTTTCCTCGCTTTAAAAAAAGAAACTTTTTTTTTTTTATGGCGTTTTGAATCTTGACACAACATGTGATTTTGTTTTTTTCCAAGTCACCCTGGCTCCAGAAGCTTGGCTGGGAAATAACAGTGTTCAAGTAAATGGCTTGTAGAGCTGGCAAGGAGCTGCCTTGGAATGCATTAGCTAGTAGCACTGTGAAGAGACACCTCCTTTGTAATATAACCTGAGCGGGCTCGCTGAAAGTGCCAAAGACATTCCAAGCCTCCCAGGGATGACAGAAAGGAGATTTCTATTATGGGGACAGCTAACCTATACTTTCTCACTCTTTTATGGCTTGTGCCACCCAACTGGATACCACAGAGTACAACACAAATCAATGGCACAGAGGCAGAGTCTTCCAGTACGTGACACGTAGCCCTGTGCAAAGCATATGGTAGCCCAGTGTCAAGACATCACCTATCACTACCATGGCATAGTATTCCTATAAAGCCCAACTCAACTCTCAGGTTTAATCAGCTACATACATTCCAGGTGCCTCAAGACAAAAGCTGTTCAATGTCTTTCCATTCTAAAGCAGCTACAGTCTGAGAAGAAAGACCTCTCCCCTGCCAGCAGCTGCACATGAAACCCTAGCTCTCTGTGGGGAAACAGAGGTCTCTCTGCAGAGGTCCAACACAGCCCTACTAAGTCACATCAATAGCTCTGCAATCAGCAAAGCTAATGCACCATGTTAAGAGAGCTCTGGTCTGGTCCATAAGGGGCATGTCAGACCTCTGCAGAGTGACCACTGCTTCCACACAAAGAGCAAAGGTCCTGCTTTACAGCATTCTAGCAGGAGACAGGCTTTTCTACTGAGGCTGCTCTCTAAAGTAAATTAAAGTTTAAAGAGTTATATCTTATAAATGCATCCAATTACCTTAACTATTAGCAAAAATGGATGGTAATTGTGTATCACTGGGCTGTAGATCCTCAAATCATCTCTGAATTGGTGCTGACACTGTCCTTCCTTCTGGAGGGTGGTTACTTTTGTTCCCATGGTCCCTGTGTATGTTGTAAAGTAGTCACCACTCCAAGCTCACTCCTGTGATGGACTACAATCTCAGTACAAATTAGTAAACTAAACATGATTGTAGTCCATCCCAGGAGTGAGCTTGGAGTGGTGACTACTTTACAACACACACAGGGACCATGGGGAACAAAAGTAACCACCCTCCAGAAGGAAGGACAGTGTCAGCACCAATTCAGAGATGATTTGGGGATATACAGTTGTGTGATACACAAATAAGATACATTTATGTTACTAGTTAAAGGTACTTGAATGCATTTATAAGATTGAACTCCTGAGTGTAGTGTTACTTTAACTGTAAGTCTTTGCGCACCTTTAGTTTCCATGCGGCTTGAACGTATTTTGCTTATTTAATGGGGGCGTTAAATTGGACTTGAACCCCATTCTATCAGAAAACTCCACGAAGCAGCCGTATGAAAACAAGAGCAGACAAGATGGGTTACATGCCTGACTGATGGCAGCATTTTTAGGCGCTCTACAAAGATGAAACTTGAGCAAAGGTTAAAAATCCATTCGTGCCTTACAGCCAGTGCAGAGGAATGCGAAACCTCAAGTTAACCTCTCTGGAGCCACAGGGGGAATGAAAAGCAGTTTTCGGCTTTAACAGCTTCCCTGGCACCGGTGAGGACCCGGGCAGAGTGTTTGTTGGGGAGGTGAGTGTAGTTCAGGTGATTCCAGCTCTGTGGCTTTCCTTTCACACTGGAAAAGGCGAAAAACAAGCAGCGTGGCTCTAAATTTAGCGAGTCGCTGGGGACTTGTAGGCAGGCTGCCATTCCCCGCTGTGACCGGCAGGGGTCGCCCCAGCCTCAGCCATCTCCCCAACATATGTTATTTACCATTTTTTTGGGCAGCGTTCCACCGCTGGGCTGGAGTCTCACACAGGACCCATTACTGACGTGTGGAAACCAAGCTCCGAATTGTACACAGCCCGAAAACTCCCTTCTGGATCCCATACACCATCACCTTCACTGCGGACCCCCTATGAAATGACATTTGGGGGTCTGCACCCCAAAACTGGTCATCTGGAACCCAGACTGTGACAACTCCAGGTCTCCCGTGTTTAGATTCTTGTGGAATCAGGCAATTTATAATAAGTAATGGGCAATGTGACAATTAGATTGCTCATGTATGTCTTAAATGACATGTTCACTTAGATTCCCTTTTTTTCACTATGCCAATATACACCCGGGGCCACTATAATAAAGAATACAATCGCTGCGCTATTATACAACGCCTTCATCGATCGCGATTATGCAACCCCCGACCCTTGGCCGTGTGTGTGCACAGACATAGATGGCACGGCTCCCCCGATACCTCCAGGAATAGCGTGTGGACCCGAGCCAACAACTTCACTTTGGGATGCTGATTTACGAGGCTCCCCGCCTGTGCCAAGTTCCTTCATAGTAAACAGAGAACAAATAGCAGCAATGCACCGACAGCGAGCTGAGAACCCCCCCCCCCCGGCAATATGTATGGAGG